AAGAACTTAGAAGTTTACCGAACTCACCCATCTTCTAACAATCTCCTCTCGAGAATGTTCAGCATTTCGCGGCTTTGGCTAAACACAAGCACCTTTTCGCCACCCTAAAGAAGGCGTTAGGACAAGCGCAAGAATACTTTTGAACAATTACCTGTTTCCTCCAGATAGTCAACAACTGCAGCAAAACACGCATTTTTCCACTCCGATCAGGATAACCGAATGCCTTGGAAGGGTCCTCAGCCACATCAAACTCACCTTCAATCGAAACACCACCATTCTAATCTTTGAAAGCATTAACACAATAAAATTACCGTATCGATTAGGTCCTCCAGTGACCAGATCAGGGTGATTGCAGAGTTTTCGTAGTAGTGTCAAACCCACGAACGCATCTAGCCTTCCTTTAAGGATGTTGCGACATTCGCGTGATGATAAGTAGTCCTTATAAAGTTGTCTTTGCTCAGAAGAGAGTTCACAAAATAGAACCTGAAGTAAGTGCCATTGTTGAATGAAAGTAAGAGATGACCAACCGTAATGTTAGAACTGATTAAATAGGCGCTATTCCGAAGCATACTTCATCTGAGGTAGAACATTGAAACTTATGTGCTTACGATTCTTCTAAAGACAAGAGAGAAACCCCGCGAGATAGGTTAGAGCAGCCTCATCTCTGATAGGCAGACAGCATGCTCGTCTCAGCTTAAGCTGTTCAAGTCTGCACAACATAAAACTACGCATTCAAACTAATGACAGTCTCTCTTACGATAATAACTATTCCAGCAAAAATGTGAGCAACATATGCAAACCTGAACCGCTTTTAGTCCTAGAACAGGTATAACTGAATGCTCACAAGTCGTACTTATCCATATTTAATTGCAAACTCAACTGGCACGCACACCTAAACCTCGAAAATGAGATAGAAGTGGCTCACTTTCTCGTTCTTCTCCGGCAAATCAAGCGACTTCTTAACATCTTTTTTCAGTCGGCGAAGAATGTACGGGCTGATTGCATCTCTCAAAGATTACGATAGGGCAAAATGTAAAGGAATGTATGAAAGTATCTCTATCCACCTCAGAACCACAGCACATTTGTAAGCTGTGAGGAGTTGCTGTTTCGTCGCATTTGCATAACCACCTTGAGTGATCGGGATAGCAAACCTTTCAGTGAATGTGTCAAGACTGTTCAGCTTTCCACTGTACACGAAATCCATGAGGGACCTGAAAGCACAATATGCGAAACAATCCGCAAATCTATCATAGGCTTTTGCTACCATATCTCAGACAAGGAGTTCTGTAAAGGTGTGCCGCTGAGAATAAGTCGGCAAGGAGTGTGTAATTGCTTGACGGTCTGCGATATCTATGCAAATCCTTACTTTAAACTTCCTTTTTACGAGAAACGGCACAATAATGAGTAATACCTGAGCTTTAGGGTTCCGAATCTTATGTCCTTCATCTAGGATGGCATAGTGCCATGGTGTTGGTAAAAGCAACTCGCTATACTTTTGAAAAGTTGAGTAAGTTGTTACCAAGATAGAACCTCCTCTGATTAAATTTGATATTGAGTAAATATACACAAATATAGCAGTAAAGAGCAATACCTTCTGTTTATAGCCATTTTCCTGATGAGGGCTCTTCTGGCAC